CCTGCTGTATTTCTGGGTCAAGTTAGAAGCATGCAAGGGGAAGGCTGCCTTGGGCATCTATCCCTGTACTCACAGAGCTGGAAGTGGAGGAATGATTCCTTTTCCCTTTGACAACCGAGATCTTCTGCTCAGCTCTCCTCCAGGGAACCACCAGCAGACCTGCTTCCACCCTGCAGTGAGCTAAGCTTAGGGACAGGTATCATGAAACTGATGTTCACTGTGAGGTAGGAATGGTGACAATTTCTCCAGAGCCTACTTTTTAGCTCCCTGTTCTCCTGGATTACTGCAGCAGACCCTTCTTTCCTAGAGCCTGGCTCTGGTGTTCTGCGCCGTCAGGAAGTTGCTGATGATCCCAGACACCACCTCAGGTTCATTCAGGTGCACAAAATGACTCCCAGGCACCTCTACTAGCTGGATGTGCTGGAGAGAGAACACACAAGAAGATGACCAGGAAAGTGTTCCCTCCAGCAAGCTGTGCGGCACTCAGGGTGTGAGGTGAGGCAGGACAGGGATGGGAAGACCAGGGAGGAGCTGGGTCCAGAAGGCAATACCAATTTTGGATCTCAGCAACAGGGGCAGAGTTGGCTTCCTCTCCGTGTGAGGGCTGCACCATTAAGCACAAAGCACCTAGTGGGGGTTGCCCAGCAAGGTGATCTGCTTCCTAGCTGCTGCTCAGGTTGGTGGCACATAAAACAGAGATGGAAGGATGGAGTTTGCTCTCACCTCTCTGAGGGTAGACTCAAATGCCTCCCGTAGGGCTTTCACAAAGTGATTTCTGCTGTCTAGCTTGTGTGGTACCAAGAGTCCATCTCGTGCTCTGAAAAGCAACAGCACGGCTCAGTACAGCACATAGTGTGCCTCTGTCTGTCTTGGCTGCTGTCCAGGGCAGAGGCAGTGTCCCCAGGGCAGAGGCAGTGTCCCCAGGGCAGAGGCAGTGTCCCCAGGGCAGAGGCAGTGTCCCCAGGGCAGAGGGGTGACAGACCCAACTGTTCTTTCCAGGCTGCTTGTAAACAGCAGGGTTGCAGGGTCGTACATGGTAGTCAGAGGAGCACTGCACAGCTTGGCTAAGCAGCTATTTTTTGCCAAACTACATTTAAAACCTTGGGTGACTGTCTAGTAGTATGACAGTGGAGACCAGTTAAATATTATCCCCCCTGGAGCTGGCTCCTTAACTGGTCCGAGGTACATCATTCCCTGCCTCCACCCTGTCTTCTGCTCTTAACTTTTTCCTTCCAGCCAGCTTCTGCATCGCTCCTCTGTTCCTTTCCCCACTCCATGCTGCTGTTTTAAACAGGGTGTGCCCTGCTTGGAGAGGGAGGTACCAGGGCAGTCCTGGAGAAGCCAGCATTAGACCTCCTGCAGAGCTAAGACCATGCTGTCTCCTACTGTACTGCAGGTGGTGGGACAAGGTAACATCCCAGGCTTAAAGCTATGTACTCTGTATGGCCTAGAGGACTCATCCTCACCAGGAGGTTGCATTTCTGGATAAGCAGGAGAATCCTTAAGCTCTTCTGATTTCAACAGATCAGGGAAAGCCAAACTGCATCTCCTTTCTTAACTTCTAGAACTTCCTGTCATTTCCTAGAGAGTCTGTTAACAGCACCACACTGACCAAGGTAGCCAGAGCCCTGCACTTCTTGCCCTCCAAGGAGATGGGAAAAATGCAGAGGAGGACTAGCAGAACCAGCTACCCACCCAGACAGCTTAACACTGCGAAAGCCACTGGCTACCTCCCCACAGCTGCTCTCTGCTCTGGGCACCACAGGGGAGAGCTTGCAAGAGCTGGGTCAGGCCAAGGGCTCCAGGATCAGCTGGAGGGGGTGGAGGCTGCCGTGGTTTCACCTGTTTGCTCAGAAAAGAGGTTTCAGCATCTGAAGAAGGGGGCAGGGCTGAGTTGCTGTGACTGGGGGAAGAGTCAGGCCAGGAGAAAGCAAGACGCAGCAGTGCTGCGGAGAGTCACCAGGATGGTCCATTGCTGTAGGGCCAAGGGACAGAAAGTTGCGGGACAGCCACGTGAAGGCATGAGCATCGGGTGGACGGGGCAGGTTGGCCCTTTCCTTGGTCAGCCTTGCACCAGGGAGGCCCAACCTGAAAATGCAGCACTAGGCTAGGAGCAGGACATGCCAGCTGCTCTCTTCCTGCTCCAGGAGCCTGCCCGGGCCATGGCAGTGGTGGGGAACTGGGAAATGCTTCTCGCATGTGAGGCTCTACTGTTGCGCTAGCTAGCCTTAAGGTCTGGGTGGCTGCTGCAGAGGAGGGAGTAGCAAAGGACTCCTCTCTAACCTTCATCCCCTCCACCCAGGGCTGCAGGGAAGCAGCAAGGGTTGGTTTGGCTTGTGCCTCACTCACACAATGATGAGAACACGGTCCTGAATCTTCTGCAGGAGCTTCACGCACTGCTCCACTGTGAGGGACTCTCGATTCTGCTGCAGGTGCAAAGATTGAGAGAGCAGCAAAGGTCAGGGACAGCAGCTGGGGGCAGAGAGTGTCCCTGACCCCTGCTGCGCTGGTGGCTCTGAAGGCAGGAGTGGCTGCGGCCCCGAAGCTGCTGTGCTGGGACACGACCGGCGGCCAGGCTGCGCGCAAGAGTCGCTGGCTCTGCAGAGGCTCCTTCTGTCCAGCTGCGTTTCAGGGCTGCCAACAATGCTGCCTGCCGGGATGCAGCACATATGGGAATGATCGCATAGCAGAGGAAAGCTTTAACAATCCTTTCACTAAAAAGGAGACAGTACACTACTCGTAGCCTGGCAGTAGCACAGGTAGATGAGGCCCTACTTCCTCCAAAGTGGCACAAACCTGTCAAAATATCGAACATAGGGACTTTGCTCCCCTCTTTCCCCTTCTTATACAAGTGACCTGACAAAGAAGCTGACCTAAAGCATCCATCCTTCTGCTGCCTGAAGAGTTATAACAGCAAGAAAATGGGGCCAGGAGGCCCTGGGGCAGAGAAACTGCTAAAAAAATCTGTAACATTTTCCAGTGACTGTAAGCTGAGTCAGTTAATGACCGAGCGCAGGCTCTTTTAAGAGCAGCATTTAAAAGAGATGTGGGAATTAGGGAAGCAGAAAGTAAACAGCTGGGTGGAGGCAGGGCCTAGGCTCAGCGAGCAGGCCTCCTCTATCTCCGAGTTTTCTGTAAGCTCAGGGCTCAGAAGCAGCGGGGGGTGCCTCAGAAGAGCAATGCTCACCGTACGGACTCTCATGTCTCTGTTATACACCAGCCCTGGAATGAAAAAACAAGACAAGGTTTTCATGTCTCGCAGGAGCAGGAGTTGCTCTCCCTCTCCTCACCTTTGGGGTTTGCCCAAGACTTTCTGAGACCAGAGGAATAGGTTTCATTCAGATTTTCCCTTTTTTTTTGATATCTTTTCTTTAGCTGTTCTAGGACTCTGACCCAGTTGCTGGGAATGGAGAGCTCTGCCTCCAGACCTAGCTGATCCCATTTAGGCTGCCTAAACTTGTAGCCAGGGCACCCTGTACTCTGTGGAAGACAATGGCTGTTGGCAC